TGATTAAATAGGTGGGATATTGGACCTAAACATCAAGATTTGGGAAAGATGTTGGTCCACGGCAGCTCCAAGAAATCGGCTACACATTGAATCTGATTTTTTTTTTTAATTTTACATTTTAGATCATAATTTTCATTAAAGACCAACTATAAATCCATATCACAGACCTTTCAGCTCATACTATATAGCTCTTTTAATTAGGTTTTATACTATAATTTATTTATTTTATTTGTGCGTTATCAATATTAATACCCAAAATGGGAAAACAATGGACCGAGAAAATCCAAATCCTTTACTTTCTTATCCAAGACTTTGCCGCCTGTAAGGCGCAATGTGCATTGATAGCTATGGCGCAGGAAAAAAAAATTTTTTTAAATTGCATTTATCACTAACCCATACCTGTTTGTTCCAATGAAAATATAACTATTTTTGCCAAGCTATTGTCAATAGAGAAAACTGCTGATAAATAAATACAAATAATTTCCATTTTTTCACCAAAGATAAAAAACTTTTTAATTATGATGACAACCGCTCCTTGTTAATAGTAAATTTGTACATGGGTCTGGCAGTTTGTTAGGCATAGATCGGGCCTTACTTATCGAGTTAGGTTTCGGATGAAAATTTTTAAATTTGAGTTTCATTTTATTTATATTATTTTATTAATAAAAATATTTTTATTTTTATTTTTAAAATGTATTAAAAATATGTATACAAAAATAAATTTTTAGTATTTAAATATAATTTTAAATAATATTGATCTAAAAATGGGTGAATATAAATGAATGAAGAGGTGTTGGGTTCGAATTTTGTTGGTGATCATTTGTTAAGATTATTTTGAATGTATAATTTGTAATCATCTATTTTAAGTTGTCAAGTATGATACATTTTATTATGATATGAGAAGTTGAACAGTCTATCTATTCTAAACTTTTTTCTTATAAAAAAAAATTTTCACATGATTTATGAACATCTTTAATTATTAGTATCATGTATTATTAATATATTTTTATTTTTAAAAAATATTTTAATTAAACAATAAATATATTTTTTTATTAAAAAAGGACAGGATGCAATCTCACTGTCTAATTACCAATATGTGGCTGAAGCATTCAACTGTATTGAAAGGGAACTAAAGCAAACATTAAAATAAATAAATAAAACCTAATGAAACAGAATTATAAACTGTGTGCTGAAGCAAAATGTCCAGAATTGAAACCTCCAGAACTTCAGATTGGTTCTTATATACATATTGGTCTTCATTTTTTATTTTCCTTTTGGCTATTGACTAAATGAAAAAATGAGCTAAATTGAATATTTGGCGACAACAGTCTTGTTGAAAGCAGGATGGCGACAATAGTCAGCGACACCTTAAATGCGTGACCATGCGCGACTTGTTTCCAGCCGTCAGATATCTCGGTTGTAAATTTTGATCGTATATGGCAATATGGTGTCTGCCAAAATAGGGGAAAATTACAAATTAGGGTAATTGTTCAATAATAATTATCTGACTTATAATTGCTGACTAATTTTATTTTTTTTAAATTAAAAAATAAATATTTGAATTAACAAATAAAATTAACTTTCACTTCTCTCTCTCTCAAGTCCTCTTCCTCCTTTCTTTCTCTCTTTCTAAGAAAAAGCCCGAGAAATAAATCTATGCAAAGAAAGTCCATTCTTTCAAAAAAAAAAAAAGCATAACAGTCCTTTTTAATAAATATTTCTTCTCATTGTTATTCTAATAATTTCTTTTTATTACCTCAATTTGTAAATATCATTTGATTTTGTATAACTTTGTCCGATTTACTTTTCCAAATATACCTCTGATTTAAAACAATACCTGTCGCGCATTTGAATGATCACTGACTGCAGCCTTCATCTGAAAGCAACGCATAGGCAAGCGATTGAGTCTTTTCCCAGGTGAGGATCGTCAAACAGCAGCCATGACTTAGTAGGCATTTACTTATCTTTTTATAACATCTAATAACACAATTATTTGATCAGTCTTCAACTTGAGTAGATTTGATAATTTAAAATTAATATAAAATAATTAAATAAAATTATATATAAATCTAACAAATTAAAAAATATATTTTATATGTTTTATATTAATATAAAATATTTAAAATAAAACATTATACAAATATAAATTATCAATATTTTACAATATATATAAATATATGAAATGTTCTTGTGTCGCCCAAAATTAAGACAAGGACAGTAAGGCAATGGATGATATTTTTGGCTTTATACGGTACTTTTAATTTTTGCCTTTCGACCAAACTTTTATAAAATAAAATTTGTGTTTGCACACGCAGAAGTAAATTGATATGCAAAGAAACCATTAGAATATTAAAAGGAAGCAGGTGATGGTGCTTCTTCCATTGATTTACGTCTCTATTACAATTTTTTTCGTCAATTTCGTGCTTTGAACATGCATTTGACAGTACAATGTTTTCAGGCTTTTGAGTTCAAGATTTTGGCCTCGCAGACGCGGTCAGGTTCCTAATTTGCTTCAAAAAAATATTTTATTATTAGATTAAAGTCAAAATTGTAGACGATAGTAGATAGGCGCAAAAATTCAAGATTTTATAATTACTAATTTTGGCACGAAATGGGAATTGGGAAGCAAACCTAACAATGCACTACAAAGAATACTAAAAAACCCCTGACTTCATTATTGTTTTTCACTTTGAATTGGCTTTTCATGTGTGCATTATTTCTCAATTCTTTTAAAAAAAAAAAAAAGTACTCAAAATGAATTATAAGGCTTTAGACTTTGGATGAGGCAACCAAAGTTCGCTTTGGTGCTCATCTTAAGCAGGGATGGTTTCTGTTTAGACTTGATAATTAGTGTTATTGTATTATATAAAATATTATATTTATATTATATTTTATATAAAAATTATGTATTATAATTTATATTTACATAAAAATATAAAATAAAAAAATTTGTTTATAATTTTTTATAAATTTTAAATAATATTATTTTTATATTTTTTATTTATATCATATTATCATATCGTATTTAAAATTATTAGATTTATGAATCTTGCTCTACTCTCGTAACATTTCTTTCTTTGTTGTTAGCCAATTTCACAACTTTTAATTTTGTCGGCTCCTTTGCTCTCAGCTTGTTGCCATTTTGTTTGGAGGACTTTGTGTATCATTTTTTTTTTTTGCTAATTGGAGTAATAATATTCTCTATTTATTAAAAAAAGTTTACCCCGTTTCCCAATCAAAAATTTTCTAAAAAGAAAAAATTAAATAAATAAATTCTAAGACATTACATCTCTATATAAAAGGATATAATAAAAAATTGTATCTTGGATTGAAAGATTTGTAAACGTTAAAAAGAAAAAATTACTTTGAATTGTCTACGGAGAGTCGTTAAGCTAATTAATTTCAAGACACGGAACCTGAATTAAAAGGGTTCAAACTTTGAAGGAAACACTAATTATCATCATAAAAACACATAGAAAATATTATAATATAATTATAATAATAATTTTTTTTTTATTTTAATAAGAGAAAAAATAATTGAAGAGCGAAGTTTCAGATCCATCAATTAAAGCAGTTGCTGCGGCGGTAAAAGAAAAAAAAAAGTAATAACAAAAGAAATGCCTTGTCTGCTACACCATTACTTCGTATTTTAAATATTATTTTCTTGGGCTCTGATTGAGCCATATTAAATGCACATAATCCAGCAAAATATCTCCCATATATATTGTAATTAATTGAAGCATGCTAAATACAAAAGGCTAAATAAAAAATTTTTATAAAACAATCACTTCACGATGGCATCAACTCTATCGAATTAATGTACATTACAATAGTGAATATTTTGTGGATTAATAATAAACAATCAAGATTTGGTTGGGTGGCCGTCGTGCAATCACTAATCTTGGAAGATTTTTTTTAACATATTGTATAAGAAATATTCACTGTTTTTTAACATTAGTGGATTGAACTTTGAAGAAGTCTACCCTTTTTTTTTTTTTTTGAAGAAAAAAGTTCGATTTTATTACGTACTGAACATCTAGAATTAATAGTGTTATAAGTTAGAATGACTTTGTATTTTAATATTTTATATCGTTTCTCCTATATATATAGTGAAACAAAAAACGCTACTATCTTTTTTTTAACCCATTAATTTCCCTTATTAACTAAAGGAAAAAGGATAAAAGAAATTGAAATTAATTCTGTTTTTTATGGTTATTTAAAGCAACTTGTAAGTAAATAAATGCAGTATATACGGGAAATTAAGCAATTTTTATCTTAAAAATGTCTAATTTTCTCGAGTTCATTTTTCAACAAAATTTTTTTTTTCTTGTAGGCTTGTAATTGGGACAGGGTCCTCCTTTGTGGTTATTAAGCTTAGTTTGACAGCCTAAAATAGAGTCCAATTTATGTGGGCGGAAGATGCAATAGTAATGAGCCCAGGTTAAAAGGGTTAATGTCACGGTCCAGTTCGCGTCCAACTCAGCGTAGGCATCTAAGATTGCTCCCACCTTCATGGACGTGGGTAGAGCAAATCTCTTCATGCTCAGCTCAAATTTGGAGGAGAGGAAATGCAAAGGTATTTTTCAAACCCATCAGCCTGTTTTTCCTGCTTGCAAATTGACAGCAAAAAAATAACAATAATAACAACAATTACCGTTGAACCACGAAGGAAGTTCTTTCTAGCAATGGATGCAGAACTCGAAGGCATTTGAAAAAGTAAGAACTTACCACTACAAAATTTTGAAAGCATTCCCAGTGTTAAGCACAAGTAATATACAAACTTTAGATTCCGAGAGTGAGTTGCCTTTGCAATTAACAATTGCATATCTTGATTCCTGAGCTATCAATTCCCGCTGGCTGGCAATAGAAAAAATTTTGAACTTTGCAGCAATTTTTACTATTAACACGGGAAGAGAAACGTGGGCATTGAAATATGATTTCTAATCTTTTCGTCCTCTAAAAATTAATCAAGATTTTTGTTTGAAAGAGTTTTTTTTAATAATAATAACGATATTAAAATTTATTTACATATATTAGGGCAGATTAATAGACAATGCAAAGTAAAATCGCCCTCACACAAGCGTTGAACACTGAGAAGTAACAGGGTCAAACAAGGCTGGTAACAAGTACTTCCTTCCATTGTTGCCTTGTGCATTGTAGCTGGCACCAGTGGTTCGATCCACTAACAGCTCTCCAGCATATCCAGGGTACGCCCCTTTACCATACACTCCTGGGCAAGCCGATGCTGCTTCAAGCTGAGCGCCATCCGAGCCCAGGAAATAGCCATTTCCATATGGATTAGTCACAGCCCCGGTCAAAAGACCAGCTATGTTTATGATCATGCCATCCACACCCACGTCTCCATTGGGGGCACCGAGTGGCTGAGTTTGTGGTCCGTAAATGGGTTGGTGGAATGGCCACGCGCAATTGCCTGGGCATTGAGTCACTGAGTTTCCAACCCAGATAAAGACGGATTTTTCCTTGGCGTTTGAGCTATGAAACCCGCAGTTACTCGTGCAAAAGCCTTCGACAGCCACGTCTTTGGCTGTAAGGACTAGAGTTAATCCACCAGCTTTCAAGTGGACTCGTCTAGCCAGCCTGGAAATTTGGGACCTTTTAAGAATTTTGCCGAGGGAGCAGTTCCTATCAGTGACTTGGCTTGCCAAGACAATACGGGCATCGCTTCTGCCAGCTCTTTTCATATAAGTTTGGATAGTGTTCCACCAATGAGATACTAAGGGTTTTGCAGGGGAGGGACCCAAGTGTTCCTGTTGTGGATTGAGAGAAAGTAGAAAATCAGCAATGATGGATCTCTGAGCTGGTGAGAATTCACCATACCAAAGAATAGAGACAGGAAGATTTCCTTCAAGCAATGCCCCTTTGTGGTAAGTCAGGGCCATGGGCGGTGGCTGGTATAGAGAGGTTAGCTTTCTTGCTCCAAGACAAACATCAGCTAAGCTTAGGTAAATAAGTACAATAACAAGAGGCATTGTTTTGGCTAACTGATAGAAACCCATTTGAAAGACTTAAAATTTGGTACCGGGTGTTGAAAGATTCTGAAATTGCAAAGGACAAAGGGAGCTTGAATTTGATTTCGGGATAAGTGTGAGGGGGTATTTATAGGTGAGTTGGTACATGCACTGAGAAAGTGGTAGGGGTTGCGCGGTAGCTTTCATTGGCAGCTACGCAGTTAAAATACAGAGATCACGAGAACTGGGAAAAGATAAGACGAGAGAGGGAGACATCTGGCGAGAATCTCCCTTTTATTTTTTGAATCATTTTATTTTCATGGAGATTTAGGAGACTTAGCCAATGCTTACATCGATTTCAAAGCTACCAATATGGCAAGCAATTCTGTCCTACCTTGATTGCCAATAGATTGGAGCTATGGGCAGCATGTGTTTTTAAAGCTTTTAGCTAGGCTGGCTCGCATTTCGATTCACTTCAGTTTCTTGGACCGATGTTCGTCTTATTATTGTTGTTGAAACTGTTCCCACAATCTTACGTCATTAAACTGAGTATCATTTCAAACCCTAACATCATTCAAATAGCAGGAACCTTTTACTCTAAAAAAGATTAAAATTTGAGGTCAGTATTCAAATCCCTGTTTCAGTTGGTTCTCAAGTTCATGGATAACTAATTAAAATCAGTTTGTTCATGCTTATAAACTTTGTAGAATTTGCCATTTTGGTTCAATTAAATTTTGTATGGGTGTTCTAGGTGCTCTGTTCTGTGCCAAAAGAATCTTTATACCCATATATGTAGCTGTAGGTAAGGTAGCTTCATCCTTTAATTCGTTTGTCGACAGTGTACTGTCACATCATGGGATTCCAGAACCTCTGGTTGCTCAAACTAAACTACAAGAATTAGAACCAGAGCCCTCGCATCCCATGCTTTGTAGGGTCGGATGCCATGCTTGAAATTGCAAGTGGTTCACCAGACAACTTATCAAACTTAATAATCAGAAACAATGAACAAAACCATCAAGTAAATTAAAAGCTCTCAACCTCCCAATCTTTCAGAAATATTACTCAATTAATGCAAGCATGTAAAAATTAAATCTCAGAAGCCACAGGTCAGGTACTTGCTTAGATAAGCGACATAGTGAGTATATAAAAATTCAATAAAAACACTGTTCCAATCCTTTACAATAAGTGTTCCTGGCAAAATTAAAACAGAAGACTATGCAAAATTAAATGTTAAACCCCTTTATAGCAATTTTTCTAGCCACCATATTTATAGTATATTAGTCTTCATTTAAGTCAGGAACATCAATTTTTTGCGTACCCTTTTCTTTTACCCTCTCTGTTCTTACTCACATTGATTTGATTATTGAATGATCACCATTCTAATTTTTCAATAACATTAATCTAAATTACAGTTTTAAATACGATCTAACAACATAATTCAAGTTCCATATATATCAGATATTGAAGATTGTTTAGATCAAATAACAACAATCTTGGCTTAAGTTGATCATGTTTTTTATACTACTTTTTGTTGAATAGAACTAGTATTTGCCTATCCGCTAGTGGACGAGTGTCAGAATTTAATTTTTAAGTTAGATTTGCAAAGCATCACTCGTGCAGGTTTGAGGTATTCTAATTAGTTTTGGGTGACCATGTTTGCAAGATTGGGAACAGAGCAAGCTCATCAGCCTTCAGACAGGCTGGATGCTCTGCTCGAGCTCATCGGATGCCGCTGTTTGGAGGCATCCAAGGTGTCTAAGTGAGCTGCTAAACGGAATATAATACTACTCACTCACAGGTTTCTGCAAGGATTATAAATAAATAAAAAAAATTGTCTTAGCGACAAAACCATAGACTGCTAATGAATATGCAATGCTGCGCTGGTGACCTTAAAATATCCATGAATTGCCACAGTTAGAGTATGCAAAGAGTATCAACTTACCAACACTGAATTAATTCCAAAATGTCGAGACGTGTTTACCCAAGTGCTCGCTCATTGTGCAGTCAGCCTATTGATCAATCTGGAAAAAAGAATCAGACTTGACATTATCATTTATCAGTGCAGGCTCTACTGCCGTACCCTTCCGAGAAGGTGTGACTATTGACTTTGGAACGTGTAAAAAAATGCTGGTCTCCAAAGTCTTAATTCTACAGCTAAATTCAGCTCATAAATATATGAAGGTGGCTGGGAAGAACGGGAGCATATATATGACACTCAGACCAACATTAATATTCTGTATCATCATCCTGAATGCTTAATTTGCATTACATGTATAGTATAATCTTAATTGTCGGCATTTTTTAATCTTCCATATACATAAACACCTAAGCAGCTGGATCATAATCATGATCTCTTACTCATCACGGACTCCTAATTAACAAATGCTTGAAATTATTAATTAACTACTATTTCTATTCATGATCTTGTTGAATTGCAGAAGACTTAGATTCTCAAAGGACCCGCGAGTACTCTTGCAAGTTGCAGCTAGAAACTTGAACAATATATTTGCAATATAAAAACGTAAATTATATTACTTTAAGTGTAAATATAAAAATGACATGTCTGCGAGTATGTAACAAGGCAGGTAATATATGAAAATCCCCATCAGACACGCTGCTGTACTGCTTTTATGTTTTGAGTATTTCGGGACTTTAGGGCATTGTAAGTAGACTCAAAGGCAACAAATTCAACACTATTAATTTAAAGATAATAGTTTTATATTATAACAATCATGTGATCTAAGTAATATACTTAACAAATTAGCAAGCCTCGTGATTGCCTCGCTAGGTTTTGGATAACGTTTGGTTAAGCTCGTGAATTTAGGCTTAGATAGGATGACGTTAATTACATTTGTTTAAAAAATTTTAACTGTCCAATAGACATTATATTTTGAATTTGTTCTTGTTAGCTGCAAGTAATAGTAATTTTATAATATATATATATATATATATATCTGTGATCTTCAATTTTTGATTGAATAATATTTTATTCTTATACTTTTAAAAATTATGAGTTAGTCTCCATACTTGCAATATTATAACAAAATAGTCATTTTATCAATATTTTTCCTCATGTATGCTACTGATATTAGCTAGTGACATGTGATATATATAAATATATATATATATATCTGAAAGCTAATATGTATATTATTTTTCTTGTTGATTTTTTTATTTAATTTAATGTTTAAAATCTATTATATATTTTTAAAAATTTATTACAAATAGAAAATATTAAACTTTATTTATTTTAATTTATATATACTTTGATATTAATTTTTTTTAAATTGAGTATTTAGAAGTTTTTCTTTTTTATCTTCTTTTTCCTCTCTTTTTTTATCCCACCAAGGCTATAGTGATGTTGCTAATTAGGGATAAGAAAAACAATAAAAAAAAATTGAAAACTTATTCAAAACCATAACATTTGATTTAATTCATATCGATTTTTTTTATTTGGTTTGAATTAAATTTAAATATTAAATATATATATTAGGTTTAGATTTGATTTCGTATTTGAAAGTCAAAAATTAAAAAAAATTAAATTAAATCAAATTATATATTTTTATTATTTTTTATAAATTTTTTAAAGTTTTATAAAGTAAAAATAATTATTTTATACTTAAATATATTAAAAATTATATTAAAATAATATATATAAAAAATTAAATTAGTTTGATTTAGATCATAGAAAAATTTTAAAAATTTATAATTTTATATATTATTTAAAAAATTAAATCAAATTCAAATCATTATCATTTTATTAGTGACAACAAAAATTTCATTCATAATGTCGATTGAAGTTTGATCCACTCTTACCACCGATCACGCATTGGTCGATAGGGAGAGAGAGAAAAAGAGAAAAAAAAAATAAGGAGAAAAGGAAGAGAAAAAAAAAAACTGAAAAGCCAATGGGGTTGCCGCTCTCTCCATTTAATTTAAAGAAAAAATATTACTACAAAAGTTAAAATTTGCCTTTACTTGTGTGAAAATTATATTTTGTTTTTAATTAGAGAAAAGAGTCCAAAAAATTGGACAATATTATTCTTAGCCGTTGGTCAATACCCTTGAATCTTGATCTGTTTATTGTATAGAAAATTATAAACAATTTAACCTTGAATTGCCACACTTAAAAATAAAATAAAATTTTCCATCGTAATCTACAATTTATTAAATTTCATTAAAAAAATTTATAAATGCTATCAAAGCTGTACTTACTATTTGAAAATTAATTAAAACTTATCCTATTAAATTAAGTTTATATGTCTGATTTAAATATTTTGAAAGGTTATAAAAAATAATTTTTTATGAATTTATTAGATATGATTTAAATAAATTTTATTATTAAAAATAATTAAATTCAGAATTCAACTAACATGCAATGTAAAAAAAATTCTTTATTTCTAGTTATATCCCATCAATTTCATGCGACTTCAATTTTAAGTGCCCTTTGAATTTTAGATGTTTTAAAACCAAAACCAACGTTCACCTGCACTTTGGCTTGCGAACAAAGTACACGGAGTAAGAAGTCTATTATTTTTTTAATTTTTGGAAAAGGGCGGAGAAGGGCTGGAACTGGCTGGCAATGGCAGGCCCTGGCGAACCACTGTCAAGTCCATAGCTGTACCTTGGCTCCTGTTAGTTTGATCCAGCCAAGCCTATTAACTCGCCGCTTTTTCTTACTTCACCAGCCTTCACCTCCCAACTTTTAAGAGCCGCAAGCGCGTAATCTCACGTGCCCTTCATCTAGAATGCTCGCGGTTAACGTCTTTGCCCACTCACTGTCTGCCAGCTGGATCAATCCTCCCTTCGCAATAAAATTAACTCCAGCCTTTCTTTCATAACGTTTGTCTGCTTCCGCTTTCCCGCATTTACCCTCCTCATGCTCCGTCATGTATTAAAAAGCTCGGTTATTTTGGTCAATAAAGAGTTAGGCTAACTGTGACTAAGCTGTAATGCCTTCTATTTTCAAGCGACGAAGAGAGCTGGCCCACTTCGTGAAGAAACTTCCATCCACGCGCTCTTTTGGCATTGATTCCACGGCCATGTTTGATTGGTACGTGAAGTCAAATGACCCGGCTAGCAGACGAGGGAAAAGGTTTTAGGAGTGAACCGTTGGGTCTCTTTTATACGTTACTGGCGAAGTCGCAACTCGTAAATGGGAAAAGCCCATCCCTCTACAATAAACTTTTTTTGTCTGTTTTTGTGCAGATTCCCTTGCTTCACATAACCCCAAAGTCCCTTTTTTCAATTCAAAATATTATTTAAAGTTCAATAAAGAAACTCTTTTTTCAGGCCCATATAAACCTTTTCTACTCTCTCATTCTCACGACTCAAACTCAAACTCAAAACTCAAAAATGGCTTCTTTTGTTACTCAAAATGCCTTGAAAATTTTCCTTATATTGTCTTTGTTCCAAATCTCTTTGGCTGGACGGAAGCTGAGTGAAGTGGTGCAAGAACAGCCTCAGCTCTTGATATACCACAACGGTCCTCTCCTTTCGGGCAGAATTACAATCAATCTGATTTGGTATGGCAAGTTCAAGCCTACCGAGAGGGCTATTATCACTGATTTTATTACCTCCCTTTCATCTAGTACTACACCGTCTCAAAACAACCAACCCTCCGTTGCCCAGTGGTGGAGGACCACCGAGAAATACTATCACCTCAGCTCTAAGAAATCCTCTACTTCCCTGTCTTTGGGAAAACAGATTTTTGATGAGAATTATTCTCTTGGGAAGTCACTCGAGAACGAGCAAATTGTTGAATTGGCCTCAAAGGGTAAGCATAAGAATGCTATTAACGTTGTCTTAACAGCATCTGATGTTGCTGTTGAAGGGTTTTGCATGAGCCGGTGTGGAACTCATGGGTCTGCCTTGAGCTCCAGGAATATTGGTCACATCAACGCCAAGACGTACTCCAAATTCGCTTATATTTGGGTAGGTAACTCCCAGACCCAGTGCCCTGGTCAATGTGCTTGGCCATTCCACCAACCAATCTACGGACCGCAAAATCCACCTTTGATTGCACCAAACAACAATGTGGGCCTTGACGGCATGGTGATCAACTTGGCTAGCCTCATTGCCGGGACTGTCACGAACCCTTTTGGAAATGGTTACTTTCAGGGTCCAGCTGAGGCACCATTGGAAGCTTCATCAGCTTGTCCTGGAATTTATGGTAAAGGAGCTTATCCAGGCTATGCAGGAAACCTACTTGTAGACCCAACTACTGGTGCTAGCTACAATGCTCGTGGTGACAATGGAAGGAAGTACTTACTTCCTGCTTTGTATGATCCTGCTACATCATCCTGCTCAACTTTGGTCTAACAATTTGAAGCAGTGATTAGCAAATTAGTGTTCGCAGATGTACATGTTTATGGAAGGATGTAATTCTTTTATTTGTTAATGTATTTTGCTTATGCAGATAACTAATAATAGATCAGCAAACTACTTTGGTTTGCTATTTTCATAATTTGCAGTTCTTATTTACTTTCAAGTGTTAGATGGGAGTGTTGATTTTACACTGTTAATCTCTCCATCAGCTAATCAGCATTCCCAAAGTTTTTCTTATTAACTCTAATGCTTTATTTTCATATAATTGGTTCAAGATTTGGTCAAGAATCTAGGCATTACTTGGGAAACTTCCGTTTATGCTTTCCAGCTATCTTGGTCCAGCTTAGGAAGAGAGCAGGGATGCATGTTGGGAATGTTTAAGTGAAAAAAGTTAAAAAAAAAAAAAAAAAAACCCCAGTTGCCATTACATCAAGAATGGGAACCCTACCGGGAACAAAGATCATTTTCTAGCAATTATAGACATTTTTTGGGCAAAATTATAGCAGACAATTATTCACACAAGTGTCTTTTTTTGGCCTAGCACATGTCTTGTCCTAAGATTTTTAACTTTGTGCCTATCCTGGGAAAAGGAAAATGAAACCTTTGCTGCTTTATTCGTGATAAACTCCATTATTTGCTAAAAGAGTCTAAAGTTTAAACCTTAAAAAAGCTGAATAAAAAGGGAAATTTCCAGGAACATTGCAATTTGATCTGGCATTAAATTCAAAGTAGAAAGGATTAATTAGCCAAAACCTTTAGTAGAAGATGAAAGGATCTTAATTACGACTTAATTTCTTTGCCTACAAACATGTTTGTAGTAGTTCAATTGAATTTTATCAAACGCAAGAAAGCGTGCATGTTTTGTACCGAACAGAACCACCTCTTCAAATGGGAGGAATTCGTCTGCCATTTAGATTCAGATGAATATAGGAGAGTTACTTATGCTTAAGCTGCAATGACCCCAAATTTTCAACTCAGATCATGACAGAAAAACTGGTAAATTTCTAGCATCCAAGCCAGCAATTTCGCACAGGTCTATCCAGAAAGTTGCGACAAATACAACATCTAATTATCAATCAAGTTAAACATCACCAAAATTAATTAACATGTAATCACCAAATTAATATTTTAAAAAACAAACCAAGATGTGGAAAATTACAACCAAACAATAACCAGTACCTTATGTAGACCCAAAAAAAAAAAATAGTAGAAAGAAAACACCAAAACATTAAACATCATAAATTCTTCAAGGTGCTTATATTATGCGCAACATAAACATGACATGTTTTCTCTACTTTCGTTATTTTTGTTTGCAACTTGCACATTTGAATATGTAAAGCCATCCCCTCTTTGGCTGCACAGTTCGAAAGACACAAAAATGTCACGACATAAATCGATAACAATAAACATTTGAGCATTACTTTAGACTATTACGCGGTTTCCCCCTGCCTCAAATGTGCCCTGACCTGACTCAATAGCACTCAATTTTGTCCTTTTTTTCCTTCGGCACGTCTCCCTCTGTCTTAATCCACCCTTAGCTGGCTTTAAACTGTATTTTTAACACATTGATTCGGTTGAGAGCGAGACTACAGCTTAAAATCCAACTTGTCATTTGGCTGGCATGGCATCTCACTCCCCACTTGTTTACGTTTCTCTTTAATTTTCGGCTCTTTCCAAGCACTCTCAACCCTCAAAGAATCAACACTATAAATACATCCCCTCATTTCAGTTCTCTTCATCCCAAATCTCACAAAACATTTCATCTCAGCATCTTCTCTCTTTGTTCAGTTCTCTGATCAGTTTAATAGTTTCAACAATCAATTCATCATGTCTTCTTTTGCTACTTCTAATGTTGTTCTGTTTCTTGTTTTCTCGGTCTCTTTTATTCATTTCAATGCTGAAGCAAGGAGGCTTGCTGACCAAACCGAGCAGCCTTTGCTGTTTCAATACCATAACGGCCCTCTTCTAACTGGGAAAATCTCTGTTAATCTCATTTGGTATGGCAAGTTCAAGCCTTCTCAACGTGCAATTGTGTCCGATTTCATCAATTCCGTTACATCTTCCAAGCCTGCTGTAGCTCAACCCTCTGTTGCTACGTGGTGGAAAGCCACGGAAAAATACTATCAGCTCAGCAAGAACCCTTCTTCTCTTGTCCTCTCATTGGATTCACAAATCCTTGATGAGAACTACTCTTTGGGAAAGTCACTAACAAATCAACAAATCGTACAATTAGCATCAAAGGGTGCTCAGAAGAATGCCATTAATGTTGTCTTGACATCAGCCGATGTAGTTGTTGAAGGGTTCTGCTCGAGCAGGTGTGGAACCCATAGTTCAGCTTTGGGCTCAAGCAATGGTCACATTAAGGGTAAGAGCTCCAAGTTTGCTTACATTTGGGTTGGTAACTCTGAGACACAGTGCCCAGGTCAATGCGCTTGGCCATTCCACCAGCCCATCTACGGACCACAGAACCAACCTTTGGTTGCACCCAACAATGACGTTGGTCTTGATGGGATGGTGATTAATCTAGCTAGCCTCTTGGCCGGGACTGTGACGAACCCATTTGGAAATGGCTACTATCAGGGTCCAAAAGAAGCACCCCTGGAGGCTGCATCGGCTTGCCCTGGGATTTATGGTACAGGGGCTTATCCAGGCTATGCTGGGGACCTTCCAGTGGACGCTACAACTGGAGCTAGCTACAACGCACATGGTGTCAATGGGAGGAAGTACCTTCTTCCTGCTTTGTTTGACCCGTCAACCTCAACTTGTTCTACTCTGGCTTAAAACAATTTTTTTTACAAGACATGCTAACATGTCAGTGTATAATTTTGTGAAAGATTCTTTTATTGTATCATTCAATCATTCTTTTTCTATCACGATCGAATAAGAGATTCGCAGTTAAATTTCTCCTTCTCTTATATTCTAAGTGGTGCATTTCCTCTGATGCTCATTGTTTATTTTAATTAATAACTTTAAAGATGTTCTCGTTAGCAAAATCTTTAATATACTAATTAAAATTAGGAAAAGTTTGTAGACGAATTCATTTTTTGTTTATTTATTAAATTTAATAAATAATTATAAACAATATTTTAAATTTATTAATTAAATAAATATATTATAAATATAATAAAATTTTTTCTTATTCACTTTATTTACCCATAAGAACAATGTTGGATTTAAGAATTATATGGTATTAGGGCCAATTAAAGGGATGACTCAGGTAAAGATGCCATCTGCAGAGTCGGAAAAATTGCGTTTGCACTTGGCAGTCACCGCTTAATTAAGAAAAATTTATTGACTTTTGTGGTACCATTTTTCTCCATTCTCTTTGCAAGCTATTATTGACTTCAGCAGATATGTTTTGTCAGAGAAACTGAGAAAGAAGTCTCTTTCAAGGCCTATTCATTTCCGTCAGTTCCTTTTTTCTTTTCCATTTCCAAAACAAAAACAATCCTCTACCAGTGCAACATGTTTTATTTGTTTAGATTTAAGTTGAATTTCAGTAAAATATTTTGAATATTGACCAAAATGTCTTTATATGTGCTACCTGTTCAAGGAGTTCAATTTTGAATATTGTGGTAAAAAAAAATTAAAGGGGATGTGTTCATTGAAAACGAAAAAAAAAAAATAGCAACAAACCTAATTCAAGAATTACACTTAACTTCCTTTCTTCCTAATTTTAAAGGTTGAAGGAGTTGTATCCCTGTCAACATACTCAACGCTGTCGACGGACCATTGTACGCTGAAAATACACGCACCAATATCTTTACGCTATACGTTTAGCCACAACCCACATAGCAGCAGCATGCCGACCATCCCACTTCATAACTTTCACGACAAGTCCGCCGATGATCCGCCCTCTCTCACACCGTCAGATTTTGTCCAAATAATTAGTTATATTGTCTCAAAGAAAAAAAAAAACAATAGTGTATTTATATGCACCGACGGCCCCTTTAGCTTACCGACCTTTTCTTTGGCGTTTAGTTCCTTTGCTATCCACGGATACTTGCAATTTCAACTGTCGACTTGCTATAGTTTTGATTGGGGCAATGATTTACCTAATCTCATGTTGGTCCAAAGTCAAGAATTGATGTTTCATATTTTCATCAGTTTCGTTGTCAAATTCAACAACAAAATTATTGATCCGCTGAATTTGAAAAAAAAGAAGAAGATTTTTTACCCTTTTTTTTTCCCAAAAAAATGATTGAACCACTTACAATCTTAAGGCTCTAAAAGCCTAACTACCCGTGTTTTTTTCTCAAAGTAAAAGTTATTTTTTAATTTTATTTCTTTAATAAGAATATTTTTAAATTTTATTTCAAAATTAAAGTATTTTGAGTCAATTAATATACGTGTCATCATTTTATTTCACCTCATTTTCTTTTTTATTTTTTTTTGTACGTCTGTAACTCAAATATTCATCTCTTTATTTTTTTTCAAAATCATTCTCTAAAGTTAATACGTTTGCTTTAGATCTCAATTATGGGACAAAAATATATTATTTTGAAAACAAAAAAAAGGAGTAAGCTTTGATTTATATTCATTAGAGAATTTTTTTTATGGCAATTGTTCATCAGAAAATTTTCAAAAAAATCTATTGCAATTTAGAATCAAACCAAAACATAACAATAAGTTCATTGCTTAAGGGGAAGACATGCGTATCCATATGTTTTAATTTTTATGTTGAAGATAAGTTTGGCTGCAATAAGAATCTACTATGATGTTGTCCACTTTGTACGTTTCTTGTCTAAAGGAGAATCTATGCATCAAGAGAAGATGATTTCAAAATGATAATTCTTTTTTTTTTTGTAGGAATTTTAAATCCACAACTTCAAATTAGGGAGAGATGGAAGATTAAATAATTGAAACAAGAAATTGGGGATAAAAGAGGTTATATCATCAAAATTAATGAATTTTTTTTTTTTAGAGAGGCAAAAAGAATCAAAGTATGGTGATTTCATTTTTATTGCTATTTCGAGTTTGATGGTTTCTTATATTACTGTCATTTAAGCTATGCTTTTTCATGTAGATATACAATCATTTATATATATTTTGAGATTGATTTGGAGTAGGAAAAATAGAACGAGAAATAAAGATTATTATGACAAAGATTATGCTTCTTTATGTGAGTACGTAATCATTGAATTTAATTTTAGAATAAAAAAAATAAAATAAGATAGAGAGATATAGATTTTGAGATTGATTTTAAAGTAAAAAAATCGAATGAGATAAAGATTATTTTGACAAAGATAAGAATATGATTATAGTAAGTAAATAGACAAATATTATTTTTATTTAATTAATATGAGATATTGACATGAAAAAAGTATGTTGATGTGGATTCCAGGTAAGTTAGAGTACCTTGGTTTAGGAATTAAGTTTAAAAGTACTCTGGTCAGATAAATAAAGTTTCAAAGTGTAGTAATTTAGGAACAAACTCCTTAATACCTCTAATAAGTTTTCATGTATTAAACAAACCAAATTTATGGTAGATCATTTAACAAATAATGATTATCACTTTGATTAAAAACTCAATTAACCAAATAAAATCAATATAAAAATTTACCTTTATGAGGATATGTTGCATTTTACATTTTTAACAACACTAATAAATAACATAATAAAAAATATATAAATATTGCAAAAATAGTCTCAATAGCGATAGAGGATCGAGAAAATTACAAGCTTAATCAACAAAATAATCATTTAAAATTAGTCCATTACCCTTGTTTTAAGGGTATTTGGGTTTTAATAGTTAAAATTTTTATTTAAAATATTATTAATATATAAATATTATATGTTATTTTTAAAATAAAATATTATACAATTAATTAATCATATAATAGTATTTCATAAAAATAAAATTTGAAATTAATTATATTTACTTTTTAAAAACTTAATTTTTATAAAATATTTTTATTTAATTAACTGAAAATATATAATATTTATACATTATCAATTCATCAAATTAAAATTTTCTTTGGGACCGTCACATAGGCCACTCGTGGGCCATACTAGCTAATGAGTACAGCAAAATAATGTCAGACACATGGGCTTAGAAAGACGAATTAATAGATGGTGCTATAATCAGGCCGAGGTTTGCAGTTTGCAGTTCGCACAACACTCCCCACTGGCGCAATTCTCTGCCCAAAGAGGTCTGATTTCCACTGCTCTGGAACACTCGCAACGATAACTTTATCATTTGAAAATCACCGCTATGAAGGCCATCATCAATTGTCAATGCATTTAAAGAAGAGTTTTAAATCTTATATTTAATATAATAAGATGATCATTAAAATATATAAGAGTTCACACTATTTTTATCTTGTGAGATACTTTTTATAAGATAAAATCTTGAGATCAGAGAGTCAAAGCGAACAATACCTCACAAGAGTGTGAATCATGATAAGAAGGTTGATCTGAGATACCGAAAAAGTGAATGCTTGGATCCCAGAGTCACGCGGGTTCGAAGCTTAAGTCTCGACTCGTGACAAGTGGTATCAGAATCAGCCCTAAATCGTTCGATCCACGTCAAGCACCTCGAAAGAGATATAGGGTGGCCGTTGTGGTATCAGAATCAACCATAAACCATTCGATCCACGTCAAGCACCTCGAAAGAAGTACAGGGTGACCAGCCTCCGTAACGAGGGCGTCACGAGATTGGGTGTGGGAGAATGTCACGAACCTAAGGAAGAATCCTGAATCTCACATCGAACATAATTGGAGGGTCACTGGGATATATAAGGGTTCACACCACCTCCGTTTTGTGAGGCACTTTTTGTAGGACAAAACCGTGATGTCAGGGGACCAAAGCAGATAATACCTCACAAGGATGTGAACCATAACAGGAAGACTTGGGTGTGAGAGAATATCACGGACTTAAAGAAAAGTCCTGAATCCCACATATAACATAATAGGAAGGTTACTGGGATATATAAGGGTTTACACCACCTCTGAGGTACCTTTTGTAAGACAAAATCCTGAAATCAAAGTCAGGGAGGTCAAAGCGGATAATACCTCACAAGCATGTGAATCATGACAGAAAGACTGATCTGAGATGACAGGACCATGACAAGAAGACTGATATGAGATGACAGGAAGACTGATCTGAGATGTCGAAAAAGTGAATGCCCCAGTCCCGGAGCAGCGCGGGTTCGGAGGTACCTTTTGTAGGACAAAACCCTGATGTCAAGGTCAGGGTCGTCAAAGCGGATAATACCTTACAAGGGTGTGAATCATGACAGGAAGACTGATCTGAAATGTCGAAAAGATGAATGTCTCAGTCCCAGAATAACGCGGGTTCGGAGTTTAAGTCTCGATCCGCATAACACAATCACTTCCATTCACGGAAATGGAACACCACCACTGCGACCTCCACGAGAACAAGCCCCACATACCCATCCTCAACTCTCCACCGCCATCACTTCCACAGGAACTTGTTGCAAATGCGACGGCTCAACGACCTTCGAGCCACCACCCCAATCCGCAACTTCCTGGCCCGACAGCTCCTCTCCCCCTACATACCGACCCATTCGTGGCCCCGCCATAAACCTTCCCCCAAACAACAACTCCCAAGCCATAATCCTCGCTCCCGTCCCTCAATCCCAAAAAGTCCCCACCATCACTCCTCCTTTCCATTTCCAAACCCCGTCCAAAAAAATCACATCCCCCGACGACATCCACAAATTTCACGACTCACCAATTTCCAAAAACTTCCTCGGCTTCATCTTCGCCTTGTCTGAGTCCATCCGTGGCCATAAAATCTCTTATCCATGCCACGAATCCCCCACTGTCTCCAACATCGTCTCCGTCATCGAAACCCTAACTCTCTGGATCGATCAAATCCCACCCGTTCAACAATCCTGTCGTTTCCGCAACATCTCTTATCGAACCTGGCACGAACGCTTAACCGAAAACGTTGAAGCCCTTATGCTCTAGTTCCTCCCCGACGATCTCAAGCCCTCCACGATCGCAATCATCCGTTAT